ATATATATATATGGTGTAGTCCCTCCCCTCCCCGCAGGAATTGACTCATGTGATTGTGGGCACTGGCAAGTCCAAAATATATAGGTCAGGCTACAGGCTGGAGATTCTGAAAGTGTTGTATCCCAAGATTGGCAGATTGTGCAGTGGGGGAAGAAGGGGTGAGAAAAATACTGGCAGTATATCTATTTATAGTCAGAAGGGAATACTCCTTCGGTAAATACCTATTTTTGCTCTTGAAGTGTTTGACTGATTAGATAAGGTCCATCCACATTATGGAGGGTACTCTATTTGCTTAAAGACAATGATTTAATCACATGTAACTACTCCATAACAGCATCTTGACCAGTGTTTGACCACACAGCTGAGCACCACAGCCTAACCAAGTTGACACATAAACTTTACCATCACAGGCATGGGAGAAGCTCTTATGGTTTTTAGATTTTCTAGCAACTTTCTGAGTCCCTGGGTGGTCCAGATGGTTACTGCCCTGTGAAAGGTTAGAGGTTCTAGTCCCCCCAGAGGCATGTTAGAACAAAGACCTGGCAGTCTACTTCCAGAGTATCAGCTGTTGGAAACATTGAGGGCACGGTTCTACTCTAACACTGGGGGTCACTGTGAGTCCACATTGACTGGGTGGCAGCTGGGTAGCAACTTTCTGAGAAACTGATATATTTGAAATATTAATGTAAGTGAGCTCTGGTAGCGTAGTGGCTAAGGCACTTGACTGCTAACTAGAGGCTGGCGGTTCAAACCCACTAGCCACTCCTCGGAAGGAAGGTTGGGCAATTCTACTTCCGTAGTGATACTGCCTCGGAAACCCAAGGAGGGGTCGCTATGAGTCAGGGCTGACTCGACGGCACATAACAACAACAACAGCAATGTAAGTGAATTTACATTATTGTTTGGAAAGATACCAGAGGAGATTTTCTGAAAAACACCTGGTTTATTATGGGATCACTTTACTAAAGTCAATGGGTAGGTGTCCTAAAAATATGACTTAAGAGAAATCACCCCAAAAGCCAAAAGTTGGATGCAATTTATTGGTATGTAAGTTAATTATTTATTTATCCAAGGTTTTATTAGGTCTTAAATTGAAGTCTAAAATTTTTTAGACTGCCACATGAATATAAAGTAGGACATTTGCTGACTTTACATGGCCTTAAGTTCGTATTTTTGCTTCAGTAAAGTACTATTTATTTCATTACAAGAAACTCAGTGATGATCTTAAAGTGAGATGTATCAATTATGTATTTAATAGCTTGTTCCCTCCATCCCTATAAGTGGTTCAAATTGGATGAGTTATATTGTAACCCGCTAAGAGGTTAAAATAAGTGATGTGGTAGATATGACTGCAATGTGATGAGACTGGTATTTTAATAAATGTACTGGAGTTATGTATACAATTGTTTTGTTCTATAAATTAGGCCCTGTGTATGGGGAGGCAGAGACAGGGTGGGGGTAATTGATACACACTTGGTTTAATAGCATTTACTAATTCTTGGAGTAGATTTGAATATTTCCTTTGGACTTACCTTTGAGCCAGTATATCAGCTACATAAGTCTCTACCAGTCCTTTTTTGGGGTAAAGTACTTGACTAAAACCATCTTTGACGATTACCACATTTGGTTAAATAACATTGAAAATATTATTGGCTTAGCAAAAATCAAATTTGCCATCAAAGAACTTGGAAATCTCTTTTGAACAATGGTGTCAATGGTTAAGCATGCTGCATTCCAAAAGGAATGCTTTGAAAACAGCCATATCTCACTACCATAGAGTCTGACTCATAGTGACTGTAGATGGCAGAATAGAACTGCCCCATAGTTTCCAGGCTATAAATTTTTATGGAAGCAGACTGCCTCATCTTTATTCCATGGAGTGGCTGGTGGATCCAAACTGCCAACCTTTGGGTTAGCAGACAAATGCATTAACCATTGCATCACCAGAGCTCCTCTAAACAATAGTATATTGAATATATTAGTTCTGGTATGTTAGGGGAAAAACATCACATTTCTGAATCACACTTACTATCTGTATACAAAAGTACCTGACAGGTAACTCCGTTTCTTCTTCTATAGCAATTCTGTTAACTTTTTATGTACTGTATATCTAAAATCAGTTATTTAACCCTAATTTTAGGCTTAAATTAAAAAGCCCTGGTGGCACAATAGTTAAGTGCTTGGCTGCTAACCAAAAGGCTGGTGGTTTGAACCCACCAGTGGATCCATGGGAGAAAAGACCTCGTGATGTACTTTTTAAAGATCACAGCCCAGGAAATCCTGTGGGGCATTTCTTTTCTGTCACATGGGATCACTGTAAGTTGAAATTAACTCGGTGGCAGCAAACAACACTATCTAATAGTTATTACTTAACCCTAATTTTAGGCTTAAGTTACTAAATAACAGAAAATCAGTTTACATCTTTTATTTCTTTGGTAGAGCTTCATGTACCTCATATGCACAGTCTTTTATTTTAGACATCTGGTTGTATTTTTCTGTATACTTTTTTATTAAATATAGAACATGTTAGATATCCATAATATTTATTAGCAATGATCAGTTTTATAAGTAATTGAATACTAGTACAGTGACATATATAGCACATTTGTCAAAAAGGAACCCATTATGTTATAATTAGATTACACCTATCCTCCCTCACCACATCCCAATCCCCTCAGTCTTGGGATCAGAAAGTAGTTGATGAAGGGCCCTTCAGATTTTAAACTTGTAGGGAGAACAAATACTCCTCTCCTCTGATTTTTTTTTTTTTTTTTTAAAAGCAACAGCAGTTAATGATTTGCTATTTTAGTTTCATTTTGAGAAAAGTATGGCTAATTAAGCTGTCTACTTGTAACTGAGCTAACAGTTTTGCCAAGAAAAAAGATGAAAAGCTAATCACAGGTTTAGCTCCTTTATTGCTTTTTCAAATGAATCAAGATGAATTCGTATTTGGCTAATAAGACTAAGAGTGTATAACAAATACAGGAGATGAGATTTATTTTTCAAATGACTATGATTTAATAAGGTTTTTACAATTCATTGACTTTTCGTTGTTGGCATTTGCTTGACTACCTGCTTCATTTAGCATCACAGACACAAAAATTATTATTCAAGGCATAATTGCCCTTTTTTGTTGTTGTTGTCGTTGTTTGAGAAATTTGTCACTTCACCCTGCTAGAATTCTTAAATTTAGGAAACTTCAAGACAAAATTGTTTTCACCTCTCTCTGTTTTGGATACAGTTCATGTTATTTTCTGCCATTATTTGATAGAGATCTTTCTAAAAAATAAACCTTAAAGACAACATTTATTTCTCCAGTCTGCAAGCAAATGATTGATGAAATTCCATTTCACAGGCCTGTAACTGCTACAGTCTTACATGAAAACGTTCAAATAAATTTTGAAGTTATAGGTAGATGATAGGTAGGATTAAACAAAACCATTTATCTTCTGGGGTCTGTAATTCTTCCTTGGATTTGTTCCCCAATATTGTATAAAATTAAAACAGACAATAAACCCGTGTCCTGAGATAGAAAGGGGATAGATATACTTTTTGTTAGAGATTTGCTGCCAGTGTACTGCATTTGAATATAGCCCAGGGTGGTTGGATGCTCCTTGAAAAGATAAGTAGGCTATCTGCACATTTGCCTTGGATATTTATTTTAGTGCATTGCTGATTGACATTTTTGTGTTATGTCCTGAAACAAACATATACTGCTGAAAATGTAAAAGAAAATCTGAGTTGTTTATATTTCAGCAGATAAAGACCAGAGTTGCCAGAATTGCCCAAGTCCAGATTCAGCAACCTGCGAGTTTAGGGTTAACAGATATCAAGGGTATAGAAATTATCATGGTCAGACTGCATGTGAAAAGGAGATTTAGGGAAAAATTATTTCAGAGAAGTAGTAAAGTGATTTTGAACAGCAAAGAAAATAATGCAATAATGTCTTAGAAATATGTTTGAATCTTAATTTCTAAAATTATAAAGGATCTGCTTGCGTACATGGATGAAAATGCTTCAAAAATATGTCTTCATTTTGTTTGTGGTGTTCAATTTGCAGTTTCCTACAGCTTTTGAATTCAACGAGTATTTTCTCATAACCATTTTGGACCACCTATACAGCTGTTTATTTGGAACATTCCTATGTAACAGTGAACAGCAGAGAGGAAAAGAGGTAAAAGATGAACCATGACACCCCCATCCTCCATCCCCATTATGGACATTTATACAAGTGTTTGTGTGGATGTTTTTAATTTACTTGGTTGTAAAACATAGCAGTGGGATTGCTGAGTCATATGGTAAATCTATGCTTACAACTTTTTGAGGAACTGCCGATTTTTTCCCAGTAGCCTCTGATTTTAATTAAGTGGAACTATCACTGACTGCTAACCAGAAGGTTGGTGGTTCAAACCCACCAACCACTCTGCAGAAGGAAGACTGGGCAGTCTGCTTCCATAAAGATTTACCATTTCAGAAACCCAAAGGGGGTTGCTGTGACTTGCAATTGAGTCTATGGCAGTGGGTTTTTTTTTTTTTTTTTTTTTTTTGGGGGGGGTTATCATCGAAGTCTCCAAGTTCCTTCCCTCTAAAGAGATTTTTTAATGACCACAAAATACCTCTATAAATTTCATGTATAATACTAGGTTTCTAAAGTATAAACAGCTTATGTGGTAGAGAATCTGTTTTTCCTTCTTACAGAATCTTCTTAAAAGGACTGTGTCATTGTGGTCTTATATAAATAGCCAGCAAGAAGACTTCACAAATCCTCTCTATGGGAGTTATTCCAATCATGTCCTTTATCCAGTAGCCAGCATGCGCCACCTAGAGCTCTGGGTGGGATATTACATAAGGTGGAACCCACGGATGAAACCACAGGTATATTCTGCAGCATACAGTGGGAGTTTTGATCTATGCATCTTTATTAGGTTTCCTCATTACAGCATCTGAGAAATTAATGCTTTTCAAAACTTTCATTTCTACTCATTCATAGTTATAATAGAAAAATTATTACTATAGGAGTAATCTGTATACTTGCTTCTAAGAACTTTCCTGACTGCTTGTACAATCTTGGACAAATCACTTCATTTGGTCCTTTCTTCCTCCTTCTGGGTAACTTGTAGGGCTCTTGTTGTTTTACTATATTAGAAAAAACAGCTTTAGGAAAATGAAAAGCCTAACAATTCTGGCCCATTTTGAAATATGTTATGGAATATTTACTAGTTAGAATTGTTTTAAAGACTAAAAAAATCTACAACTGAATGATAAGGCATCTTTGGCTGTTGGCTTTTAAATTATCTTGTTGCTCAATTATTATATTTGGAAAAGTGCCAATTTCAGAAGCATCTTGTATAGTGGGTATTCTTTGGAAATACCCAGGGGTGTTGGGAAAGCGAGTGAAATATTAGTGATTTCAGTAGAGCCTGTAACTCACTGAATTTAACTTCCATTGATATGTGATTGGTTACAGCTGAAAACACACACATTACAAAATTTGGAGCATTTAGAAAATGAAATACATACCCAATTTATTTGACTTTGGGTTTATGATTGTCTGGTTTAATGATTTTCTGGTGTTTTGTAGGAGCCCATTCACAACAGATATAAAGAACTTCTTGCTAAACGAGCAGAGCTTCAGAAAAAAGTAGAGGAACTACAGAGAGAGATTTCCAATCGATCAACCTCATCCTCAGAGAGAGCCAGTTCTCCTGCACAGTGTGTCCCTCCTGTCCAAACTGTTGTGTGAATGGACAATTTGATTGGGGTTGTCATCACCACAAACTCTTGACTACAATGGCAGCTTTATGAGTAGAAGTCTTCTGATTTTGGAACCCATTTATGAGAGAAAGTTCAGCCATTTTATTTATTTTTAAATTTCCCTAGGATGAGTTTAGAATTGTAGCAGCGAAGGTGGCTTCAGTGAAATAACCCCATACATAATTACATGATTAAGACACTAATCTTATAAGGTACCCAAAGAATAGTAAAATGCTTAAATCCTGGATCTGCAGTAGGAACGATTTCTGATTTTAAGAGGAAAGCACAGTCTTAAGAGATTTTTGGCATCTGGTGAAATACGCAAATCACTTCAGGAACAGAGGGAGTAGCATTGCAGTGTTCAATCCTACATTGAGATCCTGTGGCATTATTTATATTGACCCTGAAGTCACGATGGGTCAAAGTCACATGATAACCCCTCCTCCATCATGGGTTTACTTTATTTAGTAACTGATTTACTTTGATCATTTTTCACCACCCACTGTTTTTCATATACTGAAAGCAGTCTTCAGGATATATGGTGTAGTGGTAGTTGACAATTACTCTTGTCATTTATATACTTATTTAAGCTGTATTAGATAGCTATTCCAAAATGATGCCTTACAGAAGTGCTTGGGGGTGGGTGGGGGAAGGTGGTAGCTGTCCAGTTCAAAGAATTCCACATTCATGGGATTAGCTTCCACTTGTTCACTTACCAAAAACATCATAAAAGGTTTTAAAAACTCATTATCTACCCCATTTCATTTTACTTACAATTTTGAACATAAAGGGACTGGTAAATTTTGAGGCAATATTTAAAAATTTTACTAGGATTATAAGTAGCTTAAATCAGAGAGAGTACTGTGCTCAAACTTTACATGAAATATTTACTACTTTTTTCCTTGTAAATTTTTTAATTCCATTGAATGATTAAATCTACCAAAGAATACAGTGCATGTAACAACATATTACAATTTCAGTGCCAGTAAAGAAAATCTTGCTTCACTGTTCACCTGCTAGTTAAGAGTTCAGCACTATCATTAACACTGATTCCCTAATGTCTATTTTACTCTCTAAGAGCCATATGTAAAGTACTGTAACAAAGGAGCTTCTTGTCCCATGGGTCTTTAATTAAAAGAAATTTTCAACTGACTTTTAAATTTTGTCCAAAGTTTTTTTCCTTAAGTTTGTTTTGAAGAAATGTTTAGTTGGAGATATTTTTGAAGAGGAAAGGGGAAATTCCAGCATCCCACCCCAAACTGGAATGCTCAATTTGAATCTATTTTTTCCCGTAATACCTAAGTCAAACCATACTAAAAAATAATTGGTTCTCCACCATTTGTTAATTCATTGACAGCCAGAACCTCAGCCCTGTTCTTGTTCTTGCAGTGAGGGAAAGTAATTTCTATTATTAGTGCATTCAGTATTAGCAAAATCAGTAACAAAACGATTTGGCTATTACGTGAAAGTTAAGAAGATTTTAACAAGGCACTTAAGTGGCCAGTCTATCAGTATTAAAGCTAAGTTTTCTACTCCAATTATTTCACATATCCATTCACTCTTTTCAATTCCACAACTGTCATCATTTAAGCCTTTATCATCTTGGTCTGATACCACAAAGAGAATTAGATGACCAGAGATGAAGATATTTGGAGATGACAGATAAAAATCAACCCCTGTGATTCAATCTAAGTGCCAATCTGTTACTTCTTGTTTAAATCTTCCACTGGCTCCCCTTTTACCTTCTGAAGTCGCCACGTGGACTGCGTGCACTTGAGTATTTAAGACAATCCATTGGTATGTATATGTGGGGTGGGGTATCAGCACGTTTTTACAAACTTACCTACACAAATAAAACTTTAATATTGTTTAATATTGGTTCTGTTATTATATAACCAGTTAACCAATTTGCTGTTGAGTCAACTCTGACTCATGGTGGTCCCATGTATGTCACAGTAGAGTTGTGCTCCAGTGTTTTCAATGGCTGATTTTTGGCCAGCCTGTCTTTTAGGGTGCCTCTGGGTAGACTCAAACCTCCAGCCTTTCAGTTAGCAGCCAAGTGTGTTAACCATTTGCACTACCCAGGGATCCATTTATATGTATATGTGTATAGCGTAGTGCCTAAGGCACTTGACTGCTAACCAGAAGGCTGGAGGTTCAAACCCAGCCACTCGGAGGAAGGAAGGTTGGGCAATCTACTTCCGTAGTGATACTGCCTCGGAAACCCAAGGAGGGGTCGCTATGAGTCGGGTCTGACTAGAGGGCACATAACAACAACAGTGTAAATAAATGTATAAACATAAAATGTTAACGATATTCGTTATAGAAACTTTTTCCTTTATGATCAGGGACATTTTAAATCATATATGATCAAGTCCAAGCTCCTTCGCCTTCTGTGACCTGGTCTCTCTGGTCTCTACTTAACCCTGTATGCTTATCTGCATACCTCATGCTTTATGTGCCAATACTACTCAGCTAGTCACAGTACCCCCATGTAAACTGCAGATTGCTGCCTCTGATTTTGTTCATTCTGTTCTACCTACATGGAACACTATTCTCCCTTGTGGCAAATTCCTATTCTCTAGAATTTAGGCATCATCTCCTCCTCTAGGAAGTTATGCCTGATTCATCACTCCTCTTTAGCTGTGCCCCCCTACCTGAATACTCTCATAGCACAGTGCACATACTATTACCACTGCATTCACAATATTCAACAATTCAGATGTCTACCACCAAACTGTAAGCAGACCTTTCTTAACTAAGTTTGGCATCCACACTGTCATCTTACACATAGAAGATACAGGTGTTTCTCATTATTTGCATATTTTCAAATTTGGATGTTACACTAAAAATACTCCTGATGTTTTTACACAGTCATTTGCAGACATGTGCAGAGTCGTAAAAAAAAAGTCCCAACCTATGTCAAGTCAAACAAGACTGTTTCCATATTCTCTAATTCAGTATTCACAAGGACTTTATAGAAGATGACTACTATAAAAAACAGAATCAAATTGCACATGTGTTTGAAATACATCGTACTAAAATTCTGCTACAGCAGAAATGAAGTTTTTATTTTTTTTCAGTTCTCACCTCAGGATATCAAAAATGGAATGCAAGTTAGGTTTGAATCCTAGCTGAGGGATGGGGGTACGTTTTGTCACTATTTAACCACTGTTCTCCTAGTGAGGACTTGTGTCCATTACCATTCAAGTGACTGTTACACAATTTAAAGACCTGACATTCAGACAAAGAGAACATACAAAAGTTTAATAGCTGAAATTGTGATCGAGACACAAGAAGTATTTACATCACCAGAGCAGAAATTCTCACCTTCTTCGGGTCTATGGACTATGTTGTGAATTCGTTAAAGCTATAGACCTGCTCATCAGAAAACTGCAAGCAAGAGTTTCATTCAACTTTAGAAGACTCACAAATACCCGAAAAGTCAATTTATAAACAACAGATTAAGAACCTCAACTGTAGAAAATTAATTTAAAAATAGGCCTGACAAGCCTAGTGCCCAGGCAGCCACTATAATTCATGCTGGCTGTCTACAGATAAAATCCTAGTATTCCATGTTCTTCAGTCAACTCCAGAGGTGGCATAAAAAGTAATTCCTTTAATAATACATGGTTAATATGTTCATTAAGACTATTAGCGTCTTATCACATGCCATGAGAGAATTCAACCTTGTTGGGCTTAGTTTCTACACAAGCATGAGACTGGGAAATAAATTATGTGCTAAATACCAATATATTCTTATTGTTCCTCACAATGTTAATGTCCTATTTAGAAATGGATTTTTTTGAGAGATTACAATAAATAATGCCTTATTAACAGGCTGTTAAGGAAAGTTTCAGTGTTTCCTCAAAAGATGCTGCTTTATTGATTGATTTCAGTGGCAAATTTATAAAAAGTAAACATATCTTAATCTATCCAGAATTATGATTTACATTATTAACAATATTACAGCATGTGTACAGTAAGTATTGCACTCATACTGTACACTAATAAAAACAAATATACAAGGGGATCCCTAAGTTTCAGGATTAAAAACCATAATGCCTTGATTGAACAGCATGATTACAACAGTTTTAAAAACAGCAAATGGATACATTTTATAACACCCTCTTTTCTCATTCTCACTTTATTCCAAAATTTCATCTGCCTCATTACTTGTTTATTTATGGTTTAAAATAAGTTATTTTTACTTAGCCTCTGCAAAGATACCAATGGAGGAGTTGAAAGGAATCCTCTTAAATATGCTATAAATATTTAATTATAGAAAACCTGCATCAATAGTCAAAGTACATTTAATGGTTTCACTGGAAAGGGGAAATGAGTACTTCACTCTAGAAGATGTAAAAGATTTTTCAAGCAAATGCTACCTATGAGATAGCTTCATATTTTGACAATTTAAACCTAATTTTATTTAGATAAAGAACTACTTAAAAAATCACACCCACAAGTAAAAAACTGGTAATCTGTTTACAAAGTGCAATGTATCAGTACAGCAAATCCATCTCAAACAAATAAGATTATTTGTGGCTTCTTGTCCTTTAAAAAAAACCCTGGTTTCCATTTAAATGGTTTAACATTTAGCCAGCTGAATAACCAAGGTGCCTAAGGAATGAAGCTTCTGTCCCTTATCAACTGCTATCAATTAATTCCAACAGAAGACAGTGTGAGACCTGGTAAGTAAACTGTCAACATCTGATCGATGAAGTACAAATTATCTGAATAAAATTTATGACCTGGTACCAGTCAGTAATCCCACGACAAACTATTACTTTGTAATGAACTCTGTATGGTTTGCATGTCCTTCAATAACTGAAGATTCTTCCTGCTTTTTTCCCCAGGTCTCAGTTTGGCAAAGTCCTTCTTATTTGTGGTCCCTGTAGTTCCAGAACGACTGCTGCTGTTTCCTTCTTCATCAAGAGACTTTTTGGTGGCTCTTAATTCCTTCCTCTGCTTCTCTATCTTCTGTTTCTCCAGCTACACAAATAACCCAAGCAGGGAAAAAAGAAATGAAACTAACAAAAACATTCTGTTCTGGTAACCAATACTTACAACTCTCATAAAAATCAAATAATCCATTATAGGATACTTTTATTTAAAAAAAAAAAAAAACAACTTTATAATAAATCCTCTCTCCCCATCCATATTATTTCTAGCAGCAAGTAGCTCTGATGATTTCAACTTCAAAAACATACCTCAAATCTGTCCCAGCTCCCCTGTCACCTCCTAGTCCAAATGATTACTATCTTGGACAGAGATTAGCAGATCTTGCAGCCTAAATCTGTCCCGTCCATTTCCCCCAACCCTAAGTAGTCTTTTAAAAATATAAGTCATTATGTTACTCCCTGGATAACTTCCCACTGCGCTTAATAAATACTTGTCTCACTGACTTAGTAATAATATATAATATGTAAACATACAGATTATATATGTAATACTATAATATATATGTAATTATATAATATGTAAAATAGAACTAAAGATTTTTCCCACATAATTATGTGACTTATCGGGCATGTTTAGGTGCTTTTAAAAAGACCTGGATAAATTTGTTGCTGTAAAATGCCATCAAGTCGATTTTGACTTGCAGCAACCCCTCCTTGGGCTTCCGAGGCAGTATCACTACAGAAGTAGATTGCCCCATCTTCCTTCCGAGGAGTGCCCAGTGGGTTTGAACCTCCAGCCTTCTTGTTACCAGTCAAGTGCTTTAGGCACTATGCTACCAGAGCTCCCCAGGTATTAAATTCATGGAATTTAATTAATTTATTTAAATTCATGGAAGTTAAAAGTTTATTTATATGATAAAGAATATTAAATATATTCAGTATTTGAAAGATGTATCTTAGATGAAATCTACTTTAAGTGATTATGACTTTTCTAGTCCACTTAAACATCAATTAACAATTAATAAATTAATGTGTCTTAGACCCTCTTTTTCTCATTTTCACTTCATTCCAAAATTTATTAGTGTCTAATAAACTCTGGAGGGAGTTCTTGTAGTGTAGCACTAGACTGCTAACCAGAAGACTGGTGGTTCAAACCCACCAGCCACTCCTAGGAAGGAGGGTTGGGCAATCTACTTCCGAAGTGATACTGCCTCAGAAACCCAAGGAGGGGTCGTTATGAGTCGGTTCCGACTTGACAGCACATAACAACAACAATAAGCAGCTCTGGTGGCATAATGCCTAAGGCACTTGACTGCTAACCAGAAGGCTGGCGGTTCAAACCCACTAGCCACTCCATGGAAGGAAGGTTGGGCAATCTACTTCCATAGTGATACTGCCTCGGAAACCCAAGGAGGGGTCACTATGAGTTGGGTCCGACTCAATGGCAGTGGGTTTTTAATGAGAAATAACCCGTGTGGCTCTCTGTCTATGATACACTTATAAAGTCATCCAATTAATATGTTTCAGAGAAATTTTTTCCCCCAATCTGTAAAAGTCTGAGTGAAAAAAAAAAACAAACAACTGAGTTACCTGGGCTTGGTATTTTCGAACTTTAGTTATTTGGTTGGCTTTTGCTTCCATCCTTCCAACTAATGTCTCCAGTTCGCACTCTAACTCTTCTTTTAGTTCAATGGTTGGAGACTCCTGGATAAGTTTTGCTAGCTGCTGGTGATCACTATTTACAAAGCAAAAGTGGGGCTTAATTAAGCTTCCTTCATTTCATGGTTAGGTCCACTATATCTCACTCACCATAGGGCCACTGCTTTGTGCACTGAATAATGGCTTAAGTTTTAGCAAAATACAGAAACAATTATCAGTTATCAATTTTAATGATCAATTATAGTTTACAATTTCAAGACATGGGAGGCAAATGTAGGAGTATTTTTAATTTCAAAATCCCCCATAAGATATTACATATATAGAAAGGAAAGCCTAGAGAAGGATGTTGTTCACTCATATGCTAACTTATCAGTGAAGTTTAGCTAAACTCAATGCAAAGGCAGTCCTAGGTTACAAAAGAGTTCTATTCCTTACCTGTGCTGTTAAGATTATCAGTCAGAACAGATGCATACAGTTCTTATGTAGCCCCACTTTAGTGCACGAAAAGGCTAGATTTAAAAGCTGCATGAAAAGGCTAGATTTAAAAGCTGCATGTGCAGCAAGTGAAGGTGACGGTGGAGATGAATTTGCTGCAAGTAGAGGTTGGGTCACTCATTTCAAGGCAGGGCTTCAAATTAGTTCTTCCCAGTCAGTCACGGCCAAGGAAGCTCAAAGATGGTGGCTGATTACGGCATTTTGTACGTGGCTCTCCACAGCACCGCCAATAATCCAATCAGACTCCTGAAAGGCATCAATATGCCTCTTCCACCCCTCCCATTCCAGGGTTTTGACTTGCATGACTAATCATCCAAAGTGTAAAAATTCAGGTGTATTCCTTTTTCTCTTTGTTGGCCACGACAACCAATTCAAAGCCAGGTATTAAATGGCAAGCAGGAGCTGTCCCTAAATTTGATGTTTGTAACCCAGAGGCTGACAATATACCAAGCTCCCAGATAATACTTTAATTTAAATTATGGCATTCAAAACATTTAACATTGGAAAATTTTCTAATGTTTCTGCCAAAATCAGTGGTCTTTGTTAAGAGTCCCAGTAACTTCCTTACTGTCTGATGCAAATACTGTGTTCAACAAGTATTTGCTTAAGAGTAGGATTTAAAACTGTACCAGGAAATTCAAAACAAGGGTCTAGAACTAAACGTGATTAAAAAACAAAACACAAAACTACTCACAAGCTCATTTGCCCAAATTCATCCTGTAAAGTCTGTAAGACTTCTGACAACTCTTCATTAATGGTACTGGAGGATGGTGTTACTGGCAACTTCTTACTTTTACTACATCTTGAAGATACTTGCTTTGCCAAAGGAACACTGTTGACTACTCGATCATTGCACAAGGCTTTACTATGTTGCTTCATTAGATGCAAGACATGCTGAACATTGGCTACCACAGCATGGCTAGGACTGGTAGACTAAAGAGAGAAAAATGATCAAAATAAGAAGTTAGTGAAGCCACATCCTGTTTTTCCCCTAACCTGGGTAAAAAGAATCCCCTCAAAAGCCTACGACATAAACCTCCTAGTCAACCAAGTTCCAGTGACTGGACTTCCCAAATATCTTGAATCCTCTTACCCTCTACCCGAGTGTTACTCACTTGGTTTACACATCTTTCTCTATTGGCTATGAGAACAACTACTCAACTGGTCTTGCTCCCAGTCTGTTCCATCTCTAAATATTAGAGTGCTTTCAGTTATCTTCCTAAATATGATTCTGATCATACTGTTCTATTTGAAATCCTCTGCAATAAACCAACTGACTATAATATCCAAACTCCTTACGATGGGGAAAAAAAAAAAAAGGCCCTACATCATTGAATTGTACCCTCCATCAGAGTTGGACCCTACACTCCCTGGCCTGATTTGTTTTCTTTTGTATGGCCACTTCTATACCATTCTTTAAACTCCAGTTCAGATATATCTAAAGGCTTCCTTAAAATTTCTGAGCAATTAATTACTTCATTCTCAGTTCACCTATACCACTTCCTACATATCTCTATCATAGCATTTATCAACATGTATTATATGTGGATATCTATTTCACCATAAAACTGTACTTCCAGATGGTAGGGGCCATTATAGCATTTGTTTTTATATCCTTGAATAGTTGGAAGCACTAATAAGTACATGTATATCGTATAAGGAATATAAAGAGGAAACACCTGGTAGCTTTCTCAAAACTATATATATATATTTTTGTTTTGAACACTAAAAATGCCAAATGAGCTAGACCAGTTTTACAGACAGGTGGCTGGGCTAACTTGGTTCTAATAAAGATCACCTACACAACTTGTTGGAGCTCTGGTAGCATAGTGCCTAAGGCACTTGACTGGTAACCAGAAGGCTGGGGTTCAAACCCACCAATCACTCCTTGGAAGGAAGATTGGGCAATCTACTTCCGTAGTGACACTGCCTCAGAAACCCAAGGAGGGGTTGCTATAAGTCGGGTCCAACTCCACGGCACATAACAACAACAGACAGCTTGTTTAAAATGCAGATTCCTAGCCAGCACTCCGAACTAAATCAGTGTGTGATCTGGGTTTAGAAATGTGTATTTTTAAGTCCACCAGTTGATTTGGTCAGGTTTAGAAATCACTATGCTAAGTGACACAGATGTACTTCTTATCCTAGTTTCTCGTTAGGTAGCAAACTGAGCCCAGAAATACATGAAAAGAATTACACTGCACATCAACGTGGGATATACTCCAGGAATGCAAGGCTAATTCAATATATGAAAATCAATTCAAGTAATCTAGCACATCAACACAGTAAGGAAGACAATTTACATAACTGTATCATTTGATAAAAAGCATTTGACAAAATCCAACACCCCTGCAGGGTATCAACTTTCAGCCAAGTTAGGAAAAGAAGGAAACTTCAAGTTGATAAACAGGATCTACCAAAAACCTATAGCTAACTTCATATATAATAATGAAAAATCACTGATTCCCCCTAAAAATCAGAAAAAAGGTGAAGATCTTTGCTCTTCCCACTCTTGACATAGTACTGGAAATTTTAGCAGTGCAGTAAGGCAAGAAAGGAAATAAAAAGCAAACAAAATGGAAAGGAAGAAATAAAACTGTCTCTATTTGCAGATGACATGATTCTCTACATAGAAAATATCAAGTAATCAAAAATAACAATTCCTAAGACTGGTATAGTGAAATCACTAAGGTTGCAAAATACTAGATCAACATACAAAAACCAACTCTATTTTTATATACCAGCAATGATTATGTATACACCCAAATTAAAAATTCTACCTTTACAATCACTCAAAAATAAACATATGTATGTATCTAATAAAACAGGTACAGGATTTGTATGCTGAAAATTATAAAATACTAATAAAAAGAAAAACATCTAAATAAGAAACAACATACAGTGGTCCTGGGCAATTCAACACAGCTGCTAATTTTCCCTAAGATGATCTATAGTCTTAATGCAATTCCTATCCAAACTCCAGCAAGCTTTTTTTGTAGGTATAGACATGTTTATTATGAAATACATATGGAAAGGCAAAGGAACTAGAATAGCTAAATTTTTTTTCCAAAGAATAAAAAAGAGGGAATAATCACTCTACCTGATGTTAAGACTTACTATATAGCTACCATAATCCAGCAATTGTGATACTGGCAAAGAGACAGACATACAGAACAATGGCACAGAATGAAAAATGTACGTAACCTGATAAGCCTCATATTGTATTCAGAAATTATTTCAAATAGATCATAAAATGTAAAACTTTTGGATCAAAACATGGGAGAAAATCTTCAGGACCTAGGTCTAGGCAAAGAGTTCTTAAATGTGTCATGATCCATAAAGGCCTCCTCATTCCCCCCAAAAACCAATAAATTGGATTTCATTAAAAATAAAAAGCTACAATTCCATGGAAGACTGTATTAAGATAAAAAACAAACAAACAAACAAAACACACACTCAAGCTACAGATTGGGAGAAAACTGAATCTAGAATATATAAAGAACTCTCAAAACTCAATAGTTTAAAAAAAAAATAAATTTAAAGAGCAAGAGACATACACAAATATTTCACCTAAGATGATATATGGATGACGATGAGGAAATGATTTCTCAAACTTTGCAGTGGGAATGTAAAATGGTATAGCCAGTCTAGAAAATAGTTTGGCAGTTTCTTTAAAAATTAAACATATACTTACCATACAATCTAGGAATTGCACTCCTGGACATTCACACACACACACACACACATACACACCCAAAGAAGACCTATGTACACACAAAAACCTGTACACATGTTCATATCAGTTTTATTTGTAAAAGACAAAATTTTGAAACAGCTTAAATGTCCTTCAGGAGTGAAGGTTAAAATAAATGGTATATCCCTACTATGGACTACTTCTCAACAACAGAAAGAGACATGGATATTCATACTTGATGGATCTCAAGGATATTATGCTGAGTCAAAGATTCAACCTCAAAAGGTCATTTACTGACTGACTTCATTTATATACTATTCTTGAAAATAAAATTATAGAGATGGTGTGGTGGTGGCTACACAAATCTATGTATTTATTATGATATTGTACCATAGTTATATAAAATGTTACTACTGACGAAAACTGAGTAAAGGCTACATGGGACCTTTCTGTACTATTTTGCAACTTCCTGTGAATCTATAAGCATTTTAAAATTAAAATGTTAACCTTTAAAACAATTAAAAGGTAATTCAAATCCAACTATGATTATATAGTTTATATATACACTCTCTCCCCCAAGTAATCCTATTATCAATACAACCTTGATTAACAAGAAGCAAACTCATCTGTCCCTTTAACTTTAAATGATACACATAATGATGTTTAAGTGAGAAAATATGCATTTAATAAAGGGAATCATTATTTTACTCATGACTTGAAATATGGATCCATTATATTATTTTCCTGCATGTATATTTCAATTAAAAAATGTAGTTTTCAAAATTTTATTTTTCTGATTACATTGATGTAAATTTATGACTACTGAATCTAGTAATAAAAACAAACTTGTATTTTGTATCTTTATTTCGTTTTTCTAGTAATTTTATGGCCTTTTTCAAACTGGTGCATACAGGTCTCTAACAAAGTGAAATTAAAGATAAAAACTGGTTCTTCATGACAGATAGCCTGAGGAACGCTCAAGTTGATGACTGCACATTCTTAGCTGTCTGAATAATCTTCAGCAAAAAATACAAAGGAATAACAAACAGCTTCAAAAGGAGAGCTCAGGTTGAAAAGCCCTGTTCAATTTCTGTATCAATGACTTCAATGAGAATTACCAAAGATAAGCAATCAAATGTAGAGATAACAAAAATATAACTGAAGTGTAAACTAGGTTGTAATGTGGGATGAGGTGAATCTATAAAAAAAACTCATTAAATAAAAAATTCTGTACTAAGGATGAATAAAAAATCAACTCCACAAGTGTAGGACTTAAAAGAGGCTGACAGAAATACTAAAGGAAAAAAATCTGTTAATTCAGTTGACTCAAGAATCATTTAAGTATGATGATGATGTGGCTGCCCACTAGCTTGAATGTGATGCCAGGCTGAGTTAACAGATTTTAATCTGTGGTAGTCAGACCATGCTTAGAGGCTACATTAAGTTTAGGAAGGAAGAGAGTGATGAGCTGGATGAGGTGGCAAAGAACCTGAAAAATCGCATCTTATAATGGCTGAGGAAAGAGATACTTATAACCTAGAACAAAATGAGATAAAAAAAAAAATTATCTTTGAAAGTTTTAAAATACTCTTTTAAAAGTCAAGGGTTCATTTGGTCTATGTGTATCATGGAAGGTAGAAATAAAACCAATCAAGGCAACTGGCCAGGCCTTGAGAACCAATGGAAACTCTGTTTCCATCTAAAGTAGAAAATTCTATGGTGAAGCTAAATAATGAGTTTGGTAAAAGCAAAGATAAAACAAGTAACACACAGGTCAAAACCAAAAAACCCACTGCCATCGAGTCGATTTTGACTTGTAGCGACTCCTGCTGGGTTTCCAAAGCTGTAAATCTTTTTTAAAGTAGACTACCTCATCTTCCTCCTGTGGAGCAGGTGGTGTGTTTACACTGCCAATCTTCTGGTCAGCAGCCAAATGCCTTACCCACTATGCCACCAGAGCTCCTTAATACAGGTTAAAATGTGGTCTGAAATCCAACAAGACACAGCATGGAGGGTAAAGGGCAGCATGAAGCTAATAGAAATATATTTATTCTCTAAGCTTTTACTGAGGGGTTACTATGGGTTCAAAATAAATAAAATTCAAGAAAACATTTATAATCTAAGCTTCTCAAACTCACAAAGCATTCAAGGCATCTATAACAAACAATCAGAAAAACAGTTCACAAAATGTAGCACAAACTAACAGTGTCAAGAACTTACTAGAAATCACATAAGACTTCCTGATATTTGACAAAAATAAGTGTTAAAGACTGTTAACCAAAGACTTAAGTCTCTGTATGGATGTGAGATCTATCATCTGATTAAATGAACATGGCAGATACTAAAAATCCAATTCTGTAACACACTTACTCCTCACTTCTTATCTCATTATATCAGACATTTCACATTTACGACAACAGGATAAATTCTACTTTCTATTTTGAGCACTAATGAGGCTGCAAAGCATCCCCCCTGAGGTGCATCTTCAGGTGGCCTCCAGGAAGCTGGGCCATGCTGCCTTGTGTCCTCCACTCCCTCGTGCCCACAGAGGTGCCCTGTACAGCTGTCATGTGGGGCCAGCCTCCTTTGTGGCCACAGGCAGCATCAAACCAGCAGACGCCTGTTCTGGGTTGCTAGCTTCTATGCAGCCTGAGTCCCTGTAGCTCAAAATTGCTGTAGGGTGTGAAGGGAGGAAAGAAAGACGTATTGGAAAGGATGTTTGGAAGAAATGCAATGTGAGTTTAATGACATCCCAAAGTGAGTCAAACTGGGCCTGAAGCATCTGCCTGTGTGGGGCTGGGTGTGTGTGGCCAAGCTCCCAGCACTCTCTCAGAAAGTCTTGAGTCTTGGCAACTCGCCAGGCCTAGAGGACAGAGCAGATTCCAGCATCCTGAACTCAGATCTTGCAGGGGTAGGAGTGGAGCCCTGGAAGCAGCTTCATGAGGGAAGCCGACTTAGCATAGGAAGAAAGTGAAGTGTTTATGCCATGGGCCCTCCAGTCGCACAGCCCAGCTCTATCCAGTTTTGTCTCCTCCAAGCCTTCTTCTCTGCAGAGAAATAATCCATAACTGGACTCATCACAGTGATGACACATGGAAATCTTAGCTGTTATTATTTCTGTAGGAGTTCTGGTGGCACTGTAGATAAAGCATGGAGTTATTAACCAAAAGGTTGGTGGTTCAAACTCACCAGCTGCTCTATAAGAGAAAGATGAGGCAGTCTGCTTCTGAATAGACTTATAGCCTTGGAAACCCTCTGTGGCAGTTCTACTCTGTCCTATAGGGTAGCTATGAGTTGGAATCAACTTGATGGCAGTGGTCTGGTTGGGTTATTATTTCTATGATGATATTTTCTAAAATTAAAAATAACCAGAAAAACTCATTGCTGTTGAGTCGAATCCGACTCATAGCGACCCCTCCTTTGGTTTCCAAGGCTGTATCATTAAGGAAATAGATTGCCCAATCTTCCTTCTGAGAATGGTTTGTGGGTGTGAACCTCCAGCCTTCTGGTTAACAGTCAAATGCCTTAGGCACTATGCCACCAGAGCTCCCAAACAACAACAAAAAAAATCAGACCAATGGACAGTCTGACAACAGATTAAAAAATGTCTCCATTTTCACATAATGATCTGGCCTTTGAAATCTAGCCATGATGATAAGTGAGAAGAAGATGCATATTATTTATTTCTTTAATCGCCGTCTGCAACCACACCTTCTCAAAAGCAAGGTCTTCTCTTTTGTTCATTGTGTCCCTTCCCGATAGGCTTTATCTGCTCTAAAGTATCCCCTAGTTCCTTCCTTGTATTCCCTTCCCCATAAAATCTTTTCCCATCTCATAATCATTCTTACTATGATCCATATGGGTAAAGGGAACAAGAAAAGTTTCTAATATTTCCTGGCATACAGGCAGATGAATGGATTTAACAGAAGATCTAAATCCTACCAGAAAATCTGATGTTCTACCAACTCACCTTTCCAGCTACAAATGGCATATCACCCAAGCATAATCTATAATGTGGTTGTGCAGCAAAGTAGTTCCTAGAACCTCTCTAAATGAAAAGGAAAGAAAAATAGTTACTTGCATGTTAATAAAAGCTGACAATACACAACTAACCTAAAACTTGGGCTGAGCTACTGCTTGCCTTACATAGATTGTTATTATGGTATTGAGCTCCTAATACTTGTCAACATGTATTCAGTACCAACTAGGAAAGGTTAGGAGCTCTGGTAGCATAGTGCCTGAGGCACTTGACTGCTAACCAGAAGGCTGGTGGTTCAAACCCACCAGCCACTCCTCGGAAGGAAGGCTGGGCAATAATCTACTTCCGTAGTGATACTGCCTTGGAAACCCAAGGAGGGGTCATTATGAGTTGGGGCTGACTTGATGGCACATAACAACAACAACAACAACAACAACAGGAAAGGTTAGGAAAGAAAAAAAACTGGCACCTGTCAAAAAAGCAGTTACACTGTAAGAAACACACACATATTTTATGGGCAAAACTAATTAATACAATGCTGAATAACAACACTAACATTTATGCTGTACTTTATAGATCAAAAATGTTTTCATATGTATTATCCTACTGTAAGAGTAAAATTTAGAAGTAGGTATTGTTTATCTTATGGAAGATTTACTTTCCTAAGATTGTAGTACTACAATTTACAAGTATTTTCACATAAATTATATCAAGTCATAACCAGTGTTCTGACTTACTCAGTTCTGTTTTCATACCTTTTCAGGTGATTTTGACTTCTTTTTTTTAATTCTTCTTGTATTGGTAACACATGAAGATGCTTTATCTTCCAAGATAAGTCTATTTGTTTCTAGACCAGTTTGCAACTAGGACAAACATGAGAAGCTAAAATTAGTGATGCAGAAATAAAAGCTGATTAAAATCTGAGATGTTCCATGTAACTAAATGCAAACCCACTACATCAAGTTGATTTTGACTCACAGCAATCTTACAGGACAGAGTAAAACTGTTCAATAGAGTTTCTAAGGCTGTAAATCTATGGAAGCAGAATGCTTCTCTTTCTCCCATGAACAGCTGGTGGGTTCAAACTGCTGACCTTTTGGTTGGCAGGCCAATGCTTTAACCACAGTGCCATGAGAGCTCCTTGTGCCATGTAAAGACTAGTAAAAAATCAACATTTGCGTCTGACTGTACAACACGTCACAGCTATGTAACTATGTCTTCAACCATTCTGTCAGCATTTGGTAAATATTTCAAATCAATACTGGTCTTTCATTTTATCTTCAACAGCTGTATAATTTCTCCTTTCTTTAGTCTGAAACATTTTAGCTCCATTGTTTATAGTTGCTCCATGAATTGTATCTAATGAGTTACATGCAATGCATCTAACTCCAAACTTCAGTATTCTCACCAATGGCATCTACACCACAGTATCAAGCATAATGCAGCCCCAGAGCAAAACATACTTCTTTCTCTTTTAAAAACTCATACACTTGCTACATGAGAAAGAATTACAAGTTTATGTCCAAGAAAACTAGAAGTGTGCCTGTGCACAAGTTTCTCTACAAGTTTAGTAATTCTACCTTAATTTAAAAATAATTTATCTACATGATAGAAATTTCACAAGTAAGTACAAAAGATTTCAAAAAAGGACTATTTTCCTTAGGCAACTTTCAAGTTTCCTTAAAAGCAAACAAATAAACCCACAGAAAAGATTATCTATCATGTAGTTTTCAAACATGCCTATGTACCAAAAATGTCTGAGATTTATAACAAAAATTCAGATTTCCTCCCCAAACCTCATGATTAGACCTAACTCAGGTTAGGGAAATCTGTACTTTAAAAGTTCCCCAGAAAATTATGATGGAGCAGGAACAAACGTTCAGAACCACTGGATTAGTAAAAGAAATACTGAAATCATAACTAATATTTCCCACAGATTACACTCTGAGGGGACAGATTGAATCTGTTCAGTGACAAAGGAAGCCAAGTAGCTCTATCTTGAGGAATAGCTATCCGTTTCCACCAACTACATAAAATTCAATGAACAAGAAATTACTATTGTGGAAGACCTATGATGCTAATGAGTGTGAACAGCATTAAAAAAGAATAAAATTTTAAATATTTTAACTTCTGGTTTATTTAGTACTTCTCAGTAGTTACCTTATATTTGTATGGTAAAATTTTAACATTTTAAAGTGTTTTCATTGTCTTTTATTACATACACTCTCCCACCATTAACAAGGTAGAAAATGATGACCAAGTTCTAAATGGTTAAATAACTTGCCCAAGACTACACAAATTAGTCAGTAAGTCTTGGAGTCACACATCCCTGGCCATTGTTCTTCCATTACAAAAATGCTTTCCTGATATTTTATTAGCAACAACTGATTTGGTGCCTATTTTTTCTCAGCTGAATGAAAAAGAAAGTGAAAATATCAAAAATTTAAATAAATTCACAAAACAGTGAACTTAATTTTAAATTTCATGTACAATGGAACCAAAAACCATAATATATGTAAAGTGCAACCTATAAGTTTTAATGTAAAAGTGATGAAATGGAAACATAGGAAAGCAACCTACCCTAAATTGCAAATGGGTAGAGAAAGTGAAGGAGCTCTGGTAGCATAGTGACTAAGGCACTTGACTGCTAACCAGAAGGCTGGTGGTTCAAATCCACCAGCCACTCCTTGGAAGGAAGGTTGGTCAATCTACTTCCATAGTGATACTGCCTTCGAAACCCAAGGAGGGGTCGCTACGACTTGGGTCCGACTAGACAGCACATAACAACAACAACAAAGAGAAAGCAAAAAACTCACTGCCGTCAAGCTGATTGCAACTCATAGCGAGCCCTCCTTGGGTTTCTGAGGCTTTATCACTACAGAATTGCCCACTCTTCCTTCTGAGTAATGGCTGGTGTATTTTAACCACCAGCCTTCTGGTTAGCAGGTAAATGCTTTAGGAACTATGCCACCAGAGCTCCTTAGAGAAAGCAAGTAATTTCAAAATTTGTCGGTGTTCAAAAATAAAAGTTACATGGCTATAAAACTCACAAAGCATTTCCTGAGAAGGAAAATAGAGAAGAAAAATATAACAGGTATGAATATGTCAACTCAATGAATTCATAAAAGCACTGGAGGAAATAGACAAGATAATATAACAGAATGCTTATAAACCTGTGATCATATATATGAAATGACCCTAGGACACTGCTAGCATTTGACCACAGACTGAACGGCAGAAGCTCTGCTTCTAATTGTTTTGGAAACAGAACCCGTTTCTTGTATTAATATTATAATGAGACAATAATAATTACTAATAAGAAAAAGACATGAAGTGTTTTATATAACTTAAAGACCTTAGAATGGAGAGAGGAATATGAGGGAGGTATCTGAGCAAATAAATTCAGAGAAGGAAGGGCCTTCAATTCTAAAAAGAAGTATTTTACTGAGTTGTAAGAAAGACTTTTTTTTTTCCTGTAACACTTAATGCTCAATGCCACCATGTTGGTCACTCACTTTTGGTACATTCCCCTTCCCTTCACCCAAATCAGTGTTTGTCTCTACCTGTCTAGCAGTGTTCCCTAACCTTCCCTCCCCTTCCTGGTAACCAACAAAGAAAAGTTTCCTTCCATATATAAACCTTTCCTTGACTTTTTACAATAGTGAACTAATATAGTATTTGTCCTTCTATGACTGACTTATTTCACTCAGCATAATATTCTCGAAGTTCATACACATTATGCAGTGTTTTGCAGATTCTACCTTATTTTTTAGTGTTGTACAGAATTCCACTGTGTGTATGTTCCAGTGTTTGGTTATCCATTCTTCTGTTGATGGGCACTTAGGCTGTTTTCATCTCTCTGCTATTTGTAAACAGTTCTGCAATGAACACAGGTGGGCATATCTTTGTTCTTGTCCTGGCTCTCACTTCTTTAGGATAATAACCTAGTAATGGGATTGCTAGATCAAATGTTATTTCTATTTCCAACATTTTAAGGAAACACCCTACTGATTTTCACAGAGGTTATTAACATTTTACAGTCCCACCAACAGTGTATGATACTCCAAGTCTCTCCGAATCCTCACCAGCATTTGTTATTTTCTGTCTTGTTCAACTGTGCTATTAGTGCTGGGGTGAGATGGTATCTCACTGTTGTTTTGATTTGCATCTCTCTAATGGCTAATGATCATGAACATTTCTTCATGTGTTTGTTGACTGCCTGAACATCTTCTTCAGTGAAGTGTCTATTCATGTCTTCTGCCCATTTTTTAACTGGACTGTTTGTCCTTTTGTTGTTGAGGTGTTGGGAGTTTTCTATAAATTTTAGAGATAAAATGAGGGCCATAAATAAGGGCCCCTAAATTTGCCCTTACTATTTCCTTGAGGAATTTCATAGCTTTAGGTTTCACATTTAAGTCTTTGATCCATCTGGAGTTAGCTTTTGTGTACGGTGTGAGGTACAGATATTGTTTCATTTTTCAGCAAATGGATAACCAGTTTTGCCAGCACCATTCATTAAAGTCCCCATTTAATGGATTTTGGCCCTTTGTCAAAAATCAGCTGACCACAGGCTAATGAATCTATTTCTGGGTTCTTAGTTCTATTCCGCCGGTTTATGTACCTGTTGTCGTACCAATACCAGACTGACTACTGTGACTGTACAGTAGGTTTTGAAATCCAGGAACGTGAGACCTCCTACTTTTTCTTCTTCTTCTTCAATAGTGCTTTGGTTATCTGAGGTCTGTAAGTAAGACTCTTATAGGAATACAAGAGTCTTACTGTTTCTTCTAGAAATGTGGTTCTGCTTTGTACATACATTCTCAAAGTTTCTATGACTCCACAGTGCCTCATCTATTCTACATGGTGTTCACTACATCGGATAAAATCCTAGACTAGAAGAGAGTAGAAATTATTCTTCTGACAAGGTGACTTCTTAGAATTCACCTGAGTCACTAGCTATTGGGGTAGCTTTAACTTCTAACCTGGTGTCTTGAGGTGATCAAGGAAAGGAACCACCTCTACGTAGGTTACTGAATGATGGCTTTTGAACATTTCTGACAGTAACCCATGGTAAGAAGTAAGTTTTACATATTATTTACCTTATTATGTGTTTTGGTGTTGTGTGCCATCAAGTTGATTCTGACTTACAGTGACTCCGAAGGACAGATTGGAACTACCTCATTGGATTTTCTAGCCTGACATTTTTATGAGAGTAGATCACCAAGTCTTTTTTTTCTGCAGAGCTGCTAGTGGGTTCAAATCACCGCCCTTTAGGTGAGCAGCCACCAGGGCTCCTTTATTATGTATACATTCTGTTTTTTTTTTTTTCCCTAAATGCTGATTGAAACCCCACAATTTGAGAAACA